AAAATCAGATATTCATTTAATTAGTATAAATTAATATTTTATTATTAATAATATATGATAAATTAATTTATATATACATCCCTACCCTACCCTATCTACCCATCCAAACCCTAAAATACATTTAAAACCTAAATCTCCCTCTCTTTTCACTCTCTCGTCTTCCTTCTTCAATATCTTCCAGGCCAGTCACTGCCCACAGTCACTATGCCGCCATCATGCCCACCACAATCCTTCGCCCTTCAATTTGAGAGCGACGTTGATTTGAAGGCATCAACGCAAGACGATTTGAGTTTGACGGCGTCATCCCTGTGTTTGAAGCTTTAAGATTGATAACGTCATCTCCGGCAACACGATATAGCAGCGGTGGCTCTGGTTAGATCCGGTGAGTTCAAATGAAGATGGGTTCAGATGGTGCGGTGGTGGTTTTGCAGTTGCGATGCAGCGTGGTTGGTGGTTGCAGTGTATGGTGGTTGGGTGCGATGCGGTGGTGATGGACGATGGTGCGGTGGTGGTGTGCGGTGCGGTGGTTAGGTTCGATGGTGTTGTGTTCGATGATTGGGTGCAGTTGTGTGGTTGGGGTGTGGTGGTGGTTGGGGTGCGGTGGTGGTTGTGCAGTGGTGTTAACCAGTGGTGGGGTGCAGTGACGATGGGTTCAAATTGTCCGTGTAATGGTGGTGGTCTATGAGATCTCCAAGCGAAGCAGATCTGTGGTATGTTTTGGTCGGGAAGTGGTGGTAGCAGTGGGTCTGGCGACGACGGTGGCAATGGTGCTGCTAGAAGCAGTGTTGAGGTGGTGGTTGCAAGTGTTGTACAGTGGTGGTGTTTGATGACGATGCTGTGTGCGGTGGTGGTGGCGGCCTTGGTGGTGGTGGTGGTGGTTGTGGCGGTGGTGGTCGTGGTTGTGGCGGTGGCGATGATCGTGTGTGGGATGAGATGTGGTAGGTGTCTGTGACCAATTATTTGATTGATTATAATTGGTTAATTTTTGACAAATAAATAATATGTGACCTAAAAATTGTGACTGTGATTCACAATTTATTAAGTTGTAATTAAGTTGTGACCAATAAAAATTTTGATTATATGATCGATGAATAATTTGTGACAAAAAAAAAAAGTCGTGACCAATAAAATTTTCGATTAGTGACCGATGAATACTATGTGACCTATGAAATTTTGATTTGTGTTCGAGAAGTAATCTGTAACCCATAAAATTTTTGATTTGCGATCGGAAAAATTTTTGACCAATAATTTGATAAATTGTGACTGAAAATTAATTTTTATTTTATTAATTAGATATTTGTGATCAAATTGCATATAATTGTATCATTACTATAATTAATAAATTAATTTATTATATTTAAATAATATATATTTTTAATTAATTAGCTAAATACTTGATTTTTGTATTTTTTAAATTTAAAATCTGAATTTTGAATTGATGAAACTTAAACCCTGATTTATGAATTCTTCCCTTGAGCATAACACAGCTCGATTCACACATTAGCTTTTAATGTGTGGTCCAACTTTGGGCCGAGTTTTAACTCTTGGGCCTAGTTTTATTGTTAAAATTTCTTTGTAAAGAGATTGAATTAAGGGAAAATTTCATTTTCAAGAGAATAAGTTTAGCCTATTTCTAAAATATGAAAACAAGTTTGAAATTTTC